TTTTCAAAAATCCCTAAAGCTAAATCTGACTTCCTTATCAGTCCCTACTCAAAATTTTTTCCTTCCAACTCCCAACCCTCATAATCATTTTCCTTCTAACTCCTTACCTTTAAAATAAGTGAAAAATAAAATCAATTATTATATCATCCCACTAAAACCAACTAACATATTATTTTATTATTACTTTATCTCCACCAACTTTAACACATAATATTATTTTATTTGAATATTTTTTCTTCTCCAACACATCACTCCATCCTTCTCCCTCTCGTCTCCCTCCCATCTCCCTCCGGGAACCGCTCATTTTTTTTTTTTTTTGCAGGTTGGTCTCCGGCGACGTGAAATCCGACGAAAAGAAATTCGGCAACAACAAATCCGGCCAAACAAGTGATTCCGACGTCAAATCTGGCAAAAATTTTCATCCTTTTCCGGCAACATTTGTGGTTTTCTAGCCAAAATTTGAAGTAATAAGTATTATATGTATTATATGAGGATCTTGTATTACATTATATGTATTATATGAGGATCTTGGAATCCAAAAATCAAGTTTAATTCATATAACTTTGGTAAATTTGGTAAGGATTGAATTTTAAATATTGTTGTTAATATTTATCCTAAATCTTACCATAAATCAATTTTGTTGTTCATGTATATGAAATTGATGCTATTGTTAAGTTATGTAATGTGTTTTTCACCCTAAAACAAAAAAATATTGTGGGAATGATCATTGTACCACTATTCTTGATTATTGTACCTCTTTTTGTATGTATATAGTACCACATTAATACTGTTTAGTACCAAATTTTTCTGGGAATGTGAAGTTTTATTTTTTATTTACCCAATTATTGTTAGATACATGGAAGGGGTACAAAGTGATCTATTAGGGAGTACGTACAAGAATGAATTGTTTGTGTTCTCTATGCACATTGGATTAACGCTTGACGAAGTGTACACTCTCATATCTAAGAGGTGGCCGAACGTTAATTTCGAATCCGTCGTGTTTTGCTATATTGCGGTGAAGGAAAAAAAAAAGAGAGAGTTAGTTTGTTGGATGATGAGGATGTAAAGAACATTATTCGGTTACATGTTAGTTGGAAAATGAATATTGTGTAGATGCTTTTGAAATTACATTTGTTATAGAATAATTTATGTTGTATTCATATTTTTGAAATTATTTTTTTTAATAAATATATTTTATTTATAATGATAGATGTAATTATTTTTTATTTTATATATGCAATATGGATGTCAAATCGAATATCATTAAAATATTATTGTTTTAGGATATAACATACAAAAAATAAAATTAAATTTAGTTTATGAAGATTTAAAAATATAATAAAAATTATTATGTGAATTAAATAAGAGTAAGAGTAGTATATGATAGCTTGAGAAGAAAAAAACATAAAATAGTTTAAGGTAATTCTTAAGCCTAAAACCGAACGTGCACATGTGTCAATACAAAGCATACAATTAATTGCGGTTTTTATATTGAAATTAAAAGACAATTTTTTTTTCTATAAAATGAAAATTACCTAAAAATAAAATTTTAAACTAAAACTCTATCGGTTTTGATTTATGTCCATGGGAGTTGACCTTATAGATTCCCTTGCGATGAGGGCGATTATTCTCCGACGAGAGCTTCACATTCCGGCAACGCACGGCCATATTCTCTTATCTAAGAGTCACCGATCATCAACCAGTTTCTTCACTTAGCTATTTCTTCTTTTCATCCCC